GGCCTCCCAGAGTGCTAGGATTACAGGCGTGAGCCACTGCGCCTGGCCAATGTTTATTATGTTTAAAAAGGACAAATTGGAAGATAACTCTAGAAAACATGGAAGTATAGAAATGACAGATCTGAAAAAGATTTAAAAAAGGCTTCCAGAAATTAAAAAAAAATTCAATGGATGGATTTAATAGCAGATTCAGAGTTAAAGAGAAAATTCACTGAATAGAAGATAAACCAGAGAAATTACCAAAAGAACAGCAAGGAGAGACAAGATGGAAAATAACAAGCAGAAGACAGAAGGCAGAGGATGGAGTAAAAAGATCCAGCAGGGTTTGATCCAAAAGCACAGGGAGAGACAGGAGCAGGAAGCAGAGGTCACAGGTGAAGACACAACGGATAAAAATTTTCCATAATTGACGAAAGGCCAAACCACAGAGTTAAGAAACCCAACGGTCCCAAAATATGATAAAATTTAAAACAAAACATACACCTAAGCACACTGCAGTGAAATGCAGGGGCGGGGAAAAAAAGGAAATCTTAAATATATCCCAGAGAAAAGAAATATCCTTAGACTGACAACTGACTTAACAATAAAGAAACCCAGAAGTCAGTGGAAAGACATCCCCAATGTACTGAAAAATAATAAATACAAGCTAAAATTCTATACCTAGCGAAAAATTCCCTAAAGAATGAAGGCAAGATAATGACAACTGCAGAAAAACAAATCGTGGAGTTTTTCACCTAAAGATCTGCATTAAAGGAAATTCAACAGAACGAACTTCAGAGAGAATGACAATGATGCTGGGTGGAAAGTCTGGGGTGTACGAAGGAAGGAAGAACAAAGAAAGTAGTAAATCTATATGAACAGTCTATCCATCCATGCATACATACAACATTTATCAAAAAAACATTATGCATACAGTAGTCCCATTATCCTCAGTTTTGTTTTCTGCAAGTTTAGTTACCCAGAGTTAACTGTAGTCTGAAAGGAGGTGAGTCCACTACAATAAGATATTTAGAGAGAGGCGGACCACAGTCACGTGACTTTTATCATGGTATACTGTTATAAAAGTTCTATTTTATCATTATTGTTGTTAATCTCTTACTGTGCCTAATTTATAAATTAAACTTTATCATAGGTATGTATGAATAGGAAAAAACTATATATATGGTTTGGTACTATCCACAGTTTCAGCATCATCAGGGGTCCTGGAACATGTCCCCTGCAGGTAAACAGGGACTACTGTCTATGTTTATTTATTAATCATCATTTACTTTAATACTGTAAGACCATGGAACATGAAAAATAAAGAAAAACTACCCTGAAGGAGAATAAATTTACTAACTTTAGACTTTCATAATTTAAGACACAGGCTGTAATTTCTAAGTAAACCTCCCCAAAGGAATAGAAACAAGAATAAAACTTCCAAACTTGTGGAAAGGAAAAAATGAATGACAAAAAAAATAGTCAAAATCAATTTTTAAAAAGGCAAGAAAAGAAAGAAACAGAGCAGGCTTGACAAATGGAAAGGAACTATTCCATCATTTTCATTTCAGTCCATACAATTGTACACAGCTGGTCTTTTCACTGGTTTCTGAAACACCAACCCCTCTAAGAAACTTTCAAAAATCAGTGATTTAGAAACTTTGTGATAGGTGTACACGTGTGAAATTGTGGATGTGTGTACCTATTATGGGGAGAAAACGTAAGGGAGCTAATTCTGAAAGGATACAACAGGGAAACTAGGCCCACATCCTATTGGCTACCGTACTCTGTTCCGCTCTTTGTTGTTGACAATAACTTCAACAATTTTGGGACTCATAAAATGACTCCATTTCTACACCATAGTATAGCCTTAGCCATTTTTTGTGGTATGGTATGGTATGTTATAGCTTTCAAAATTTTAAAGATAATGTTAGTGGGCAAGCAGAGGCAATTAAATAAGGATTCCAGGAGGACTGCTTACATGAAGTGGCACTTGCTGGGTGAACCCAAAGGGACAGGACCAAAGGATGGCAAGCCGTGCTGAGGCGGCAATGGCAACCTTTTCTACCCAAGAGTGGGAGTTTGAATAACATGGAGTTCCCAAACTTGTAAAGGTCAAGTAAAACATACTTTCTGTAACAAAATAACTTTAAGTCATTGCTAATTTAATATTTCCTATGGTCTCACAAAAAATACCTGCTTTTATCTAATATTTTGTATAATTACATATTATAATTTTAAACTGTGTGAATTTCTAAGATGAGACTTTGAAATTTCATGGAGCAAAGAAATTTTGTGTTTCAGGCGTGAAATTTGTTCTTCAACCAGTTAAGTCATCAACTAAATGCCCCTCCACTACATTCTTTTTTTTTTTTTGAAACAGAGTCTCACTCTGTCACCCAGGCGGGAATGCAGTGGCTTGATCATAACTCACTGCAGCCTCAAACCCCTGACTCAAGCGATCCTCCTGCCTCAGCCTCCCAGGCAGCTGGGACTACAGGTGCACGTCACCATGCCCAGCTAATTTTTCCACTACATTCTTAAAAAACGGCTATGTATTCTTATCCTAACCATAGTCTCAAAAATTGGACCTACACTAAAATATCATCACGTAGAGATAGTAAAATTTTATCTCTAAAAGGTTTTGAGTCATTCTGAACAATCCTGAAATTCCATTATTGCTTGATATTGTGTTTAAGTAAAATTTCCCACAGAACGGTACCTGCTGAGAGAACTCCGTGGTTAATTCTCGGCATGCTTAAAGGGGCCAGTTCAATCCAGAGCTGCCT